TGTGCTGTAAGTCCGCGGCGAATCACTGGCCCCTTATTTTCCCACGAAACCGTGAACTCTGACCGCTACGTTAATGATATACTGAATCCGTTCTTCAATCAGCCAACTGCTGAAGAAAGACAAAGTGGGCACTTTCAGCAAGACAACGCTACAGCACATGCGGCTAATGCAACGATAGTCGCAATACGGGAAGTGTTTGAAAACAGAATAATCAGCGGAGGACTGTAGCCTCCCAGATCTGTTTTTGCAATTTTTATTTTTGGGGAAACCTGAAGGGCAAAGTCTGCAAGAATAAACCTCGCAGCACTGAAGCTCTGCAGAATGAAATAACACGCCACTTTTTCACAAGCTTGGATACAGACGACTTTGTGGGAGCTGGAGAGTCAGGATATTTACGACGAAACTTACGGTTACACTTCCTTTAAGTTTTTTCTTTGCAAAAGTTTCGACAATAAACACACGCTGTTCAATAGTGAACTTCATTTCAGTATAACTATCGACCGCCTAACGACACCTCTAACACAGACTAGTAATGTGACTTGAATGAATGAATGTACAAGGGGTGGGCCCTCTTGGCCCTTGCACCGCGACCACAGTGATCTATTGTGCCTCCCCTTCTGATTATTCCCTCAGCAATCCTGCGCTTCGAATGAAACGCAGGATTTTGTACGTTGGGACGTCGAAATAGTCACTTGGTTCCATAAAATATCGACCCAAATGACGTAATCTTAAATAAGCTAAGGCCTTACATTCACACAGGATATGTGTGGCTGCTTCATTTTCTACTTGATACCTCTCACAAGTTGGACTGCTACTTAGTCCCAGTTCGAAGAGGTGTCCTTTAAGGTGACAGTGTCCTGTACGCAGTCCTACCACCCATCGTAGCTGGTTCCTCTTTAACTTCAACAGTTATTAATGTGACTTACTGCAGTGACAAGATCAGACCACCTGACAGCGAGCGTTTATCAGCTCTAATGACTCATTCTGCTATTGGCAGTTACAGCAGAATTCTGTGTGAAATGTTGAGCCCGCTATATGCTCCTGCCAGGTTTCTTCGATGGTTGAACGCCCTGTATAATTACGTTAAAGATCGTTGATGCTATCTCTAATTCGGTCAACCTGTGAAAGATTGCCCCTAGAAGCGTCATACGGGATACCACGTTGAACGCACATAACTTTCCATCCTCAAAGTTGCCTATGCAAGTCACAACGTATCCAGGTTCATGGACTGGCCCAAGAATAAGTTATTTCGGGATATAACGCTGCGTACTCAGGTACAAATTCATTGCACTCATGAATACGCTTATTAAATACTATTAGAATCATCAAATAAAGGAGGATAAGATAGGCTGGGTATGTTGCATGCATAGGCGGGAGAACAACTGCGTACAATGTTGGTCGGTCGGTCGGTCGGTCGATCGTTGTTGTTGTTTTTGTTTTTAAAGAACCCCTGGAAGAAACAGATTGCTAGGGCGACCTAGACGTAGTTGGGATGGTAATATTAAAATGTATCTTAAAAAATATAATAGGAGGGTGTGGGCTGGATGTATTTGGCCCAGGATAAAGGCCAGTAAAGGGCTCTTACGAATACGGCAATGTTCCTTCAGGGCATATAAAATGCGAGAAATTTCTTCAGTACTTCAATTCCATCAGCTGATCAACACAATGGCAACACGCTACAATATTCGACGGTACAACGACATGATATCTTGTTTGCTTCCTCTCTTTCATAGAATATTCATCGTATTCACAGGGCTATTATCCGTCTTAAACACCCCTATCTACATACTAATGCCTAAATACGGACTGGCCTCAATAGAGCCTGAGCTAACCAGCCTAAACCAGTATGTCAGCCAGAAACGGCCTGGCGCTACGAACCAATCACGAAACAAAACACTGCAGCTGAATCCGCAAACTCTTCATATTCGCTTATGCTTCCAATGATAGAAAGAGGGCCGGATTTCCGAGGGAGCGACGGGGTGCTCGCCCCAGGACCTCCACAAAACAGAAACACAATTCACAGATTTCATTTGGGCATTTCCTTTTATAACCTCACGAAAATTTAGTTTGTGTTTTAGTTTGTAAATAAGAACAAGAAAAGTTATAACTTAAATTGCTGTTGCTGATAGGGACCTCCACATTTTGATTACCCCAAGTCGCCCCCCCCCCACAACTGTAAATCCGGCTCCGGGCAGAAATAACGGCCTTGTATACAAATTCGTGTCGCCGTTACATTGGTGGCCTACAAAATATAAAACGTGACTTCGATCCTGAAGATGGAGGCGAAATATTCCTCCGAAATGCTCGTATCCACCTACAAGAATATGCAGCACAGAAAACACAGCTCCCCTATTGTTGTAGAGGCGTGTTACCACACAGTTGTCTAGCAAACAGTCTCGGCGCGGACCACATATAAAACACCTTTCATTCTTGTTGCGTATTGTTATAGTCGCATATTTATTGGTCCGATATCCATCTACGGATGTCCTTCTATTGCTGAGAGCGTAGCTTCGGGACTGTGTTTATTGAGTCGTTGCCTAGCAATGGTCATATACGTCACAATATAAACCAGGGTGTTTCTAAAGATAGCTGTGGAACTATCACAGAACGGTTCCATACTCTAAGCGCCTAGGTTCTACAGCCAAAAATTATAATCTCAACAACTAAAAGTATATGACCGGCTATTTCTTCTACATATATAAAATAAATAATAAAGTCAACAATGAGATGACAGCTCTGAAATTACGCAATTTCGAGTTACCACAATAACGAATTGGCAACAGTTAACACGTCGCATGAACATAAGTCATGCAGCAGCTCAAAAACGAGCGCGTAGTACTTTGTTTCAGTGTATCTTGCATATTCTGTGAGCACTGTTAATGTTCTAATGTGGATATATGAAGTGTAGTATACTCTATAAAGGAGGCGGTTTACGGTTGATTATTTGCGCGTGTTATTCGTGGGAGGTGGCGTTAAACGTCAGCCTCAACGTATCGTTTGATAATATGTATGACTGAAAGGAAATGGGGGGGGGGCAGGGGAAGATGTCCTTATGAAAGCTTACATAACAAATGATTAGGCTTCCCACTAAATGACCGCTTACTTCCATATTCTTTCCAACTCATTATTCACCAGTCACCCCACCATTCGACAAGATTCTGTAGTTGGACCTACTGAGACAGTCGTTAACAAACCATAAATTTACAAAAAAAACGGTTAATGCCTTTTAGGGAAATGATCTGTTTACCGTCAGAATCATACCAAACACACTGTGTGGGCAAAATGCATTAATTTTTAACGTTGGCACAGATGGCAGTTAACAGTTACCAGTGCTTTCACGGGTTAACATCGCTGTAGTAATAATCAACGTTAATTAATATCTAGAATATCTTCCTATCTGTTTCCCGACGGCAAACACTGGAGTAAACTTAAATGAGGCACCATCTTCTGGTATATAAAATATATAAATAAAACTATACATGTAGAAAGGGGCACGCGATAACGTAGTTGGTTGAGGCACTATGCTACAAGCCGGAAGGTCGCGGGTTCAAGTCCCGATGAGGTCATTGGAATTTTTTTTTCAATTAACCTAATCCTTCCGGCCGCACTATTGCCCTGGGGTCGACTCAGCCTCTAACAAAAATGAGTACCAAGAATATTCTTGGGGGTAAAGGGCGGCCGGCGCGTACGGCTGACAACCTTGTCGCCATCTATGAGCCGACTGTCTAGAAAATGTGGAAACCTCAACATCTCACAACCCTATGGGCCTCCATGCCTGTTACAAGGATACATTTACTTCTTTTATACATGTAGAAATACAAACGTTGTCTATAAATTTGTATGAATAACAACTCGAGTGAAACAAATGTAGAGCCAGAAGTAAAATGGAAAATAAATGGGAACTACATAAATACGGGCACAACTTTACAACACGGTGACCAATTATTAGGCAACTTTTAACTGAATAATGTCTGAATTAAGAAATAAAAAAAAATCATTTCCGTATTTGTACATGTTTCAGTTATTTCCCTTACCAGCTCGAATTCAATGACAAGTTAGGTAAGGTTGGTTATCTTCGATTTACAATAGGCTTCTATCTGGGTCTAGCAAGCATAAATAAAACATTACTTTTTCGAGAACTTTGTTGGCCGAGTACGTCATACGTTTCTGCTAAAAGGGATTACGTGCCCATCGTAAAACTGTTTAAGGACATAACTGAATTAGTAATGAGCTGTAGTGTGTCATTTCACTTTCCTGAACATCTCGCTACTCTGGTTGCCCTGTGACAAAATCTGTATTGCGCCATGCCACAAGATATTTTGGATGAAGAACGAAAATATGTTTTTTCATATGATTCATTTTCCCGATATATTATCAATATGAAATTAAAATTCAAGTTACCATTTAAATGCAACTTGATAATAAGATATGCTTTGATGGTAACGTATATCTTAATTTCACAAAGAAATTCAATTTTAGATCATGGAGCGAAATTGGGTTTCTGTTTTATATACAGGTACTTATATTGGTAGGAATTCATTTGGATCGATTCAGTCTCTTTCATTTTTCAGCATAAGGAAAGCATAACTAGTTCTAATGACAGGTCTAATTGTAATCGCAAACATTACCCTCACATCACCTACTCTCGATTACACAGTTTAAAAAAAACAGATACATCTACAACCAGCAAAGAAATGTTATGGAACAAGAGTGTTCTCGTACCCCTGCTTGGAGATATATCCCGTTACTTATTCACCTCACCTAGCCAAATAATGATCAATGTGACCTACATGTCTCTTCTTGACACCCCTGAATATTTTCGAGAAATTTCGTAAATCGTTAAACAGTTCACATTAACATAACATGAAACCATATCAATGAGAGGCGCTATTGAACCTTTGCAAGAAGTTCATTTATAACAGCTGTGAATGAAACAAACAATACATTCGTTGACACTGCACAATACTAGATTGGTATTATCCAATTAATTGCATACTCACAGCCATCACCAGCTCGAAGGGATACTTATACACCCGTACAGGCGACTGGTACTTCTGTACCATTTTAAGTCCACGTATCTCCACTGGATTTAGTAATTAAAAGTCGATTTATCGTATATTCGTCACTCACAACACTTCCGTCTGGCCTTCCACAAACACGACGGAAGACTAACTGGTCACATTAATGTCCACTGGAGAGCGCTGGAAACACAAATCGCGAAAATGTTATACACGTGAAATTTATGTTTAATTTTAAGCTCTCTGTATGAAATCATGGTTCTGAAAAGTTTGTGGTAGCAACAATTTGTATTCTCAAATTGTAATAAATCCCGACACATCTTTTACAACGCCTATGAAACTCCACACAAGAGCACTATATTTTTTGATCGCAGGAATACAGTCATGTGATGAAGTCACATTCTACACTGTCAAAAAAGGCATCTAAATTTCTCCCCCACCATCGCTGAACACTACGCTTTAAATACAAGCATAATTCTATATTCAGCGATAAAACGTGTAGTCCGTCGAAAGAGAATCGACGTTTCGGAGGAACATGTTGCCTTCTTCACGCTGATTTCTTGCTTGGCTTGTTCTTCGACCCTGAAGATAAAGGCGACACGGTCCTCCGAAACGTCGATTGACTTTGAACGGACCACACGCCGTTTATCCCAGAAGATAGAATACTTCATAACCACCGCTGTGAGAACCTAAAGCCCTATGTACGGCAAAAACGCAGCTAAAACTCGCACACAGTGTGAACTAACTCCATGAAGCTGAAACCTTCTTGAGAAGCCGCCAGTTTTGTAGTTACTCAAGAATTTATCTGCATTTTATGGAACCACAAGAGCCATACACCGGTCCTCATGCTGAGCCAGATCAAGCCACTCCATACTGCACTAACATATATAAGATCCATTTTAATATTGTCACGAGTTTCGGGTGCGTGACTTATAAGACGGGGTTTGAATTGGCTGATTGGAGTTATTGATCACTCACAGGTCGTAACTACAAGTAAGTATAACACTCTTACCGATTCTCACACTACAAATCACTCCACACTGAATCTGCTCAGTGTCCTGTCACTGGTCTTCACTATCCGTTTCCTGGCAACGGATTTATTATAGTCTTGCAGTAACTCTTAGCTCAAGTCAAAGCCAAAGTCAAAGTCACATTGCGACTGACGGTCTGTCAATCAGTCAGTAAGTCTTGGTTTCGAGCCCTATCTGGGGCTCATGATCAGATAGTTATGGTTTTGTTTTTGTAGGGCGCACTCTCCGAAGAGAGAACAGATCAGAGTCATAGTCTGTAGCAGTAAGACATTTGTCATAATGTAAAGTATATTTACATTTTACGTGTTAATAAATGTATATAAAACATATACAGGGCCTCTGTCAGTCCAGGCTCAAAAGAGCAGATTATGCCCTGTTTCTAGCAGCTTCCACTACAACGGAAGTCTAGTTACTTGAACGGTCGTTTGCTTAACCGCTGCCAAGTTTAAGCCTCTTTTACTTTCTATTTCGGGCTTCTCCTTGCCCAGTATTGCGAACATTTTCGTTATCATGATTTTGTATGACTTCCGCTTGTTGCCTGCATAATTTTGCTATATAATCATATACGTACGGAGTTTTAAAACCCGTGTGTAAATCGCGAACCGGTGTACCTTGGAAAATTGCCACTGGTGCGGATAACCTTGTTCTGTAGGCGCTGCAATTTCATCAGACGGGTACCTGCCGCGAATTCACAGGCGGGACTAGCATAAGTCATTACGGATCTAATGAGAGCTTTGTGGTGGCTCAGTTTAATGTTAGCGCTCAATCGCTCACTTTTGAATAGGGAATACAATCTTATAAATGTTCTGGAGGCCTTGACTTCGATCAGTTCTATGTGCAAACTCCATGTAACCTTCCTATCAAAGTTTACACTGTTTGTTTTTTACACTATTTACAAATTGAATATATTTTCCATTCAATGTAAGATGAGACAGAGGCGGACGACGACTGCGAGAGAAGTAGATACCCTGAGTCTTACCTTCATTAATTTTGATATTCCAGCTCTCACACCAGGTCTCCATTAAGTAACTCTTAGCCAAGTCCAAGTCACATTGCGACTGACGGTCAGTCAGTCAGTAAGTCTTGGTGTCGAGCCCCAGATATTTATTACCCGTAACAGTTACGGTCTTCTTTTTGTGAAGCACCCTCTCTGACGAGACGACGGGTCTGCCTTTTGTATGTGCTGCTGGCCCTTGCCAGTGCAGTCTTTCTAGGGTCTGAGTCCCTTGGGACTCGAGACCACATTTTACTGTCTCAGATCTGAGACTTCCCTTTTCGTCGCCTCTTACGACTCTCAGGGTCACGGTGGAGGTATTTGACCCCGCCTCCACACGGGGTTAACTCTTAGCTCCAAGTCCAAGTCACACTGCGACTGACGGTCAGTCAGTCTGTCTGCCTTGGTGTCGAGCCCCGACTGAGGCTGATGGCCAGATTTTTTTTCTTATATGAAAGTTACTGCCCTGTTCATTTGTGGCGCCCTCTCTGACGAGAGGTCGGGTCTGTCATTTGTCAGTCATAGTCTCTGTTAGTAAGTCCATTGTCAGTATTTACAAATTTAATCTTAATTCCTATTTCTATGTACAATATATACAAGGCCTCTGCCAATCCAGGCTCAGTACAGCAGATTTTGCCCTATTTTTACCAGTATTCGCTACCACGGCAGTCTAGGTCACTTGAACGGTAGTATGCCTGACCGCCGCCAAGTTTAAGCCTCTTATACTGTGTCAGGCTTCGCTTTGTCCGATGTTGCGGACATTCTCATTTTCATGACTTTGTATGGCTTTTGCTTGTTTCCTGCATAATTTTGTTATATAGACATATACGTACGGGATTTTAAATGCCACGTGCAAATCGCGGACCGGTGTGCGCCTTGGAATATTGCCAGTTGTGCGGAGAACGCACTGTTGGCATCTCGTTATATAGCCTCGAGTCTGGCCTTACAGAAAACACGTCCATTGCCTAGCAATCGATGTCCTCTATTGTTGCATATTCGTTGGAACGTTTTTACCTAGCAACGGGCTGTTTACCAGGAATCTGTCTCCGTGGGAAGTTGTTTATCAGGCAGTTGCCTAGCAGTGGGTCTATACATCAAATTATCAACCCACCCATGTCTTGATCTCCCTAATGGTCTCTTTCCTTCTGGCTTTCCCACCAGTATCCTACATACATTCGTCTTCTCCCATTCCTGCTATGCCCTGCCCAACTCATCCTCCTTGACTTCGTCATTGTGATTATACTTGGCGAGTAGTACACGTATAAATTACGAAGCTCATTATGCAGTTCCACACACAATGTGAATGCCACCAAAAGATATGGGAATACCAGGGAGGGGCATGCTGTGAACCACCTTTTCCAGACTCCAATTTTCAAACACCTTGACATAAACAATGTTAAGGAACCTGAGTTCTGAATGTCCAGCCTTATGTAGTAGTAGTAGTAGTAGTAGTAGTCATAGCAGCAGCAGGAGTAACAATAGAACTAGTAGAGTAGTAGCATCAACATTAGTAGTGGTGATAGTACAGTGGTAGCAATCTAACCATAACGGTAAGAAAACTGTCTCAGCCACATAATCTGAATCACTAGTTGTTAAATCATAGTTTTTGTTTTTACTAATACTGAATTATTACAGTTATTATTATTATTATTGCCTATGATCCAGCTAAGAGGGAAGTATTGTACAATATTCTGATAGAGTTTGGGATACCCATGAAACTAGTTAGGCTGATTAAAATATGTTTCGACAAAACATATACTAAAGTCCATATACGTATGTAAACATTTGTCTGATAAATTTCCTATCCAGAATGGTCTGAAACAAGGAGATGCTTTATCGCCACTCCTTTTCAACTTTGTTTTAGAATATGCCATTAGGAAGGTCCAGGAAAACCAGGTGGGACTGAAATTAAATGGGACACATCAGCTGTTGGTCTATGCCGAATATGTGAATCTACTCGGTGATAATATACGTAGATACAATAGAGAAAAGCACGCAAACTTTAATAGATGCAAGTAGGAAGGTTGGACTAGAAGTAAACACTGAGAAAACTAAGTATATGTTGCTGTCTCGTCACCAAAATGCAGGGCAAAATCATCACATAAAGATAGGAAACAGATGTTTTGGAAATGTGGCACAGTTCAGATATTTTGGAACAACGATAACAAATCAAAACCTGATTGAAGAGGAAATTAAGAGGAGAGTGAACTCAGGTAATGCTTGCTACCATTCAGTCCACAGCCTTTTGTCTTCTCGTCTGCTGTTCAAAAACATAAAAATTAAAATATACAAAACTATAATTTTGCCTGTGGTTCTGTACGGGTGTGAAACTTGGTCTCTAACATTAAGGGAAGAACGTAGACTGATGGTGTTTGAGAACAGGGTGTTGAGGAGAATATTTGCTACCGAAGAGAGATAAAGTTACACGAGGTTGGAGAAAACTGCATAATGAGGAGCTTCATAACTTGTACTCTTCTCCAAGTATANCTTTGGGTTCCATAAAATGCTGGGAAATTCTTGAGTAGCTGCAGAATTGGCGGCTCCTCAAGAAGGGCTCATCTCCATGAGTAAATAAGTAAATTGTATTTGTTGCTATTATTATTATTATTATTATTATTATTAGTCTACTTTCCCTATTTTGAATAATAAAAGTAGGCTTATGAGATCACCTTGCTGTTTGTGTATCCCCGTATAACTCCTGGAAGCCAGAATGATGCAATCAGACAAGCGCCACGCAGGCAACTATTTCTAGGCAACAGCCCAGTAATTAAGTCTTCCAGCTCTCGGGTTTCCGAGCACTCTGACTGGCTGCTAACCACAGTCCCTCTGTTGTTAGACTACTCTCCTTGTGTGTTAGTATATGCATCGCCCCCACATCGCTGCTAGGCAACGGTTCGGTAAACACGTTCTCGTGGCAAAAAACACAAACACAACAATATAATTTTTAGACGCAACGTTTGCTATGCGATTCGTGCTATATCAGCGCAAAGTAGGCAATCAGTTTTTCCAAAGATTTATTGTTATTAAATTGCCTTGCTTTTGTACTTCGTTTGGATGTTTTCCATCTCCCCCCCCTTTTCTTTACTTGTGCTCACTTTGTAATTGGCCTCTGGGCTGATAAGTTTGCACATAAATAAATATGAATTTAATTGAATTGTTAGCAGCAAGAGCATATTGGTGGGTAAACGAAGGAGCTATGGACTGGGCAGCAGAAGAATGTGGGTTCAATTCCCCCAAGGGGCAAAAGACCTTTCTCTTCTCCATAACATCCACACTGGTTCTGAGGCCCACCTGCCTCCTACCCAGTGGGTACCATGGACTTTCCCCAGGAGCTAAAGTGGCTGGAACATTAAGTTGGTAACTCACCTCCCATTTTCATTATTGTTTTCGTATCTGTGCTGATTCTGTAATTGGCCACTGACTGTCCAGTTCAGAAAGTAAATAAATAACAATACTAATTCATCATATAAAAATATAATGCTGAAATATAAGACAGTAAACAAGGAATTTAACTATTATTAATTATTTACCAACAATGATAACAATGATATTAACTGAGAATAAGAATGTGAATCTTCTGCTGCATAAAACATTTGGGAACTGTAGCATAGGAAATGAACAAGTAAAACATGGACTTATTAATTCATGTTCCCTCCACTTCTTGATGTCAACGAGCAACAAGATTAAGATAAGGTAATGGCTTCATATGATGAAAGATATTTTACCAAGTGCAGAATTTATTAGAGTTTTGTTTTCAGAACATAGAAAATAACAACTTGGAGATAAAGATTAAAATGGCATAGCCTTCCCTGTAACAGGCCATGGAGGCCCACAGGGTTGGGAGAGGTCAAGGCTCCCATATTTTTTAGACAATCGTCTCACAGATGGTGGTGAGGTTGTCAGCCACATATGCAGGCTGCTCGTTACCCCCAGGAAGATTCCCGCTACTCATTTCTGTTAGAGGCTTAGTCGACCCCAGGGCCATAGTGCACCTGAAAGGATTAGGTCAACTGGAAAATGCTATGACCTCATCAGGCATCCAAACGGTGACCTTCTGGCTTGTAGCATAGTGCCTCAACCAACTACACTACCACTTGCCCAAGTAACAAGAAGATAAGCAAAGAAAGGATAAATAAGTGTAGGCTAGTTCGTGGTACTATTCCAGCATTCACCTGCTTGAAGAGAGGAAAATTTTGATAATGTAAGTCATGATAACCAGCAACCTGGCAGAGATTCAAACCACAATTTTCAGAATATAAGTCACAAGCATTATCACCTGTGGTAAGTAGCATCATTATAAACTAGAAATACATTCAGATAACTCTTTTTTTGTTGCTACTATTTCGAGTGATTATCCCATGTATGCAGGAAGAAAATGATACTATCATACGAGAATGTTAAAAGCAAAACCAAGGTCATTAAGAAGAGGAGAGAAATATTGAAGCATTGAAAGAAGTGATAAAACATTCAGAGTAGAAACAATAACAAATTAAATTAAAATCTTAATGTCACAAGATACAGAGTAGAAAAATTATTGACAACAGAACGAATAAACACTTCTCACTAACACATTCACTGACACACCACAATACTGGGATCTTACCTGCTAAGCTATATATATACTATACTGCTACACTACTAATGAAATATTTACTACATATAAGGTACAGTGAATACATCAGTAGAGAACTAAAGGTTTTTAATGTCACATTTCATACAGCGTAACAGAAGACATTTGTCGAATACAGGATTTGAACCTTACACATGAAACAAATATAGCAAAATCCTCTTGGGCAGCCAGCCATGTCAAGATGGAATACATTTCCATTCCAGAAAAAGTTTCAGAAACACTGGCCACCAATTTCAGTCTGACATGGTTGATTCCCTGAGAAGTCTTCATTACATTTGTGGAACACACTTATTTGTTGGCATTGCTACACTCAGCTGTTACAGTCAAACTTCCTCACAATCCACATCAATAAAATGTACAGAAGTTCAACGGCCTCTTCACCTCCGTTTGAAGCCATATTTTTTCCGTTCATAGAACAGATCAGTTTTAGAGCTACCCAAATTCACAATCTTTGGACATCCATCACGCTGAAAAGAAAATAAAAAAGAAAAGTAACACAACAGTTATCACATAACATTCACATTGATAAAGTAACTAACACATAAGTCTAATTAAAACTATATTTCAACAATTTTCATTTCAGTGTATTCAAATGGTGCAAAATGCCTTCTCCGAAAACTGTGCCTGTCTGTACCTCCGTACCACTGAAACTGATTCTGATGTACTTACTTCTTCACAAATTAAAATGTAACCTCTGAATAATGTCTATCAGGTCTATGATCTTAGTTTAAGGTCTGAATGAACTTTATGTGTACAATTTTCATTTCATTAATCATGTTGTGTTATAATATACAATTTCTTTATTAAAACCATCACAACTTGGCACTGACCTCAATATAGTTGTGTTGTGACGGTTTTAATAAAGAAATTGTTTATGTGTACATTCTTCCTTAGAAAAATACACATGAAACAAAAGTTAACAAACTACTATAAAAATCCTTGGTAAGTTTTGACATTATAATTCAATGACTACAGTCTATTAAACAAATTTACTTTTCACCATACACAGTGTTACATCTAACAGAACTGTGAATTATAATTTCTGATGCAGTTTTATTATATATAGTTATGTGCTTGCTCACATTTAATTATTTTAGAAAGCATTTCTTAAAATAAGTTACAAGAATCATCATTATATTAATTAATTAATTTTTATATGGCCATCCTATTTTGGTATGTTTACCAAATACTAATTGGTGTGTTGCAGTAGTGGTTATTATTCTATTTCGTCTTACATCTTTCTCTTGAATGGTACACTCCTTGCAGTAGTACGCATCCGACACCCCAGGTCCTCCACAGATTACACACCGGCCTTGGTAAGATCCATAGTTACATTCATCACAAATCCGCACTAATGTGCACGGTCGCACATATGAATCACATATAACACATTTTCCATCACATTTCTCACACAATCGGCCAATAGCTAAAACAGAATAATTAGCAGCAAATGGTTAGTAAAATTACACTTTACAACGCAATAACATACGATGTGAAAATAATTTGAATTTGAGACATTCCCATGATTCATGTGCTCAAATTATAAACAGTAATCATTGTTATAATTGCGTAAGCTGTGAAGTGATCGAAAATTTGAGAAAAGATCTAGAAGAGTTTGGCAATCTACAAGAATTAGCGAGCCAGTCAAGTGGTGAAAGATGCTATACAAGTTGAAATTAACGTTTTATTAGTAAGGATAGAAAGTTTTAAAGACCGTGAAAACGAGGTTAATTGGTGTAGAGTAACTAAGGGTGGAAGAAGACTGGTTTTAGTAAATTCTCAACAAGAGGTGCTGATATTAAATAATCAATTTCAACTACTTTATAACCTCAATCTTGATGAATCTGCTGGAAGATCTCAAATGCTGGAACAGAAAACCTTAAGATGTGATAAAACCATAATAGTGAAAAGGGCAAGAAATAAGAGAATTTTAATAGTTGGTGATAGTCATGTCAAAGGAATGGCGAGGGAACTGCAACATAACTTAAAGAAGGATTATGTAGTTCAAGGAATAGTGTAATCAGGGGCTGATATGGAAGTGATCCTTAGTTCTATTGTGAATGAAATTAGAAACCTAACGAAAGATGATTTTTTAATTATTTGGGGAGGTGTAAAAGAAGTATATAGGAATGAAACCCAAAAATGTATTAAGCAAGTTAGTAAATTTGTCCAAAGTAATTTAAATATGAATGTAATAGTTCTCAGTTTACCCAAAAGATGAGATTTGGTGGATCGGTCATGTGTGAATAAAGAAATTGATAGTTAAAATAGAAGGTTGGGTAAGCATCTGAAAGTGTTAGACCATGTGCATTATATAGTCATTAATTATGATAGAAAATTTCATACAAGCCATGGCATGCACCTGAACACAGAAGGTAAGGAGTATGTAGCTAAACAGTTAGTTTCTTTCACTGATACGAAACTAAATAAAGAAGAGCTGGCAGTCATATCTTTAGACTGGGATGATGTTAATATGAATGATCAAATTGTGGAAAATGAAAAAAGGAAAAGTGATGAAAGCTGTAAGTTTGAAGAAGTTCAGGGAACTTTATTAGAGGAGGTAGTTAAACTCAATGAATGAATGAATGATCTCCCCGGTGCTGGGTAAGAGAGTTAGAAGATGACTAGTAAATATGGGTGATGATTTTTTATGGTAATGCCTCAAAATGTATTGAATTTGAAGACCTCAAGCAGTAGTTGTGACCTTAGTCAAGCACCAAAGATTAAACTTAAGGATACTAAGATAAGCTCTTTTAATTTATTTCACCAAAATATTAGAGGTCTACAACATAAAATTGATGAACTGATTTGTATGTTAATTAGTCATGACTTGAGCCCACATGTAATTTGTATAACTAAACATTAATTAACTGAGCAGAAACTTTTATTGATCAAACCAGATAATTATTGTTTAACCTCCCAATTCTCACAATCATTAAGTAATGGGGGAGGTGTTTGTATATACTGTAAATTGGATATGGACTGTAATCCAATTGATATAACACAATATTGCACAGAAAAGGTGATTGAGGCCGGTGCAGTCCAATTAAATATTGGAAATAATTATTTTATAATACTATGTATATACAGATCTCCTTGTGGAAATGTAGAGGAATTTATTAAGCAATTCGAACTAATACTGAAATCTGTTTACAAGCCTAAACTTGAATTAATAATATCTGGAGACTTTAATGTAAATTTTTTAGAGAATTCAAGTAGATCTCTTAAGCTTATTTCACTATTTCAGACGTACAACCTGTTTCGGGTTGTCAAATTTCCAACTAGGATTACAACTGATACCAGTACTGCTATTGATAGTATATTTTTGGATTACAGCAGATTAAATACTTTACAGGTGTACTCAGTATTCAATGGGCTTTCAGATCACGATGCTCAGTATTTGACTGTCAGTAATGTTGTGAACTGCCACAGGAATAAGAGTGGATTAGTTAAAAGAAGAGTTATATCTGAGTCTGGCATCATAACTTTTAGTGAGATGTTGAGTAGGCGAACCTGGGAAAGTGTTTTAAGTAATCTTGATGTTAACAAAAGTGTTAATCTATTTTTAAATATCTTTTTAACGATTTTTTAAACATGTTTTCCAGTGAAATTTGTCAAAAATTAGGTGTACTCTAACGGGTGGATTACTAAAGGAATTAAAATTTTATGTAGGCAAAAGAAGTATTTGTATTTGATGATTAGATCTACTAATTACCCAGGCCTAAAGGAGTATGATACTCGATACTGTACATTGCTGAGAAAACTTATCAGAAGAGCTAAAGTTATATATTGAGGGAATAATAATGGCTGCATCTAATAAATCCAAGGAGTCCTGGAAAATCATAAAGAGAGAAAATGGTAGAGAGTCGAAGAAAAAACATTCATATTCAGAATTGAGAGGCCATGTAATAATCAATAGCAGGAATAAAGCTAAGCCATTTAACTCTTATTTTTTTGAGTTCAGTTAACAAATTAGTTGGTCAGAGTTCTAATAATGTATGTTTTTTACCACTGTCATGTGAGTACTCTACAGATAAGATTTCTGAAATTGTAAATATTCCAATTACTGAGGCAGAAGTATTAAGCACAATAAATTCATTAAAAAAATAAATCTTCTTGTGGATATGACGGGTTGTCAAAATTATTAAATTATGTGGTGAACAGATAGCAAAACCACTTGCTTATATTTATAATCTTTCTGTAAGTTTGGGCATATGTCTTGACCAATTGAAATATGCAAATATTATACCATGTTTTAAGAGGGTGATGTTACTGAAATTGCCAACTATAGACTGATATCTTTATTGACAAATTTCTCAAAATTACTTGAAATATTAGTGTTTAGCAGGCTTAAACAGCATTTTATAAGAAATGATATCCTGGCTCCTGAGCAGTATGGTTTCATAAGGATGTTTCTACACAAAACACAGTCTTTAATCTAACTGATACTGTTCTTAAAGCATGGAACAATAAGGAGTTTGTGGTAGGTATATTTGTGATTTGACAAAGGCTTTTGATTGTGTCAGTCATGATTTGTTGATTCAAAAGTTGAAGTATAGAGTCAAAGGGCCTATTTTGAAATGGTTGGAGACTTATTTAAAAATAGAATGCAAAGAGTTGTGCTGCATACTTGTAATTCGACTACTACAATCTCTGAATGAAAATCTGTAAGGTTTGGTGTTCCACAGGGATCTGTCCTGGGACCAATGTTGTTTAATGTTTATATTAGTGATTTTCCAGGAACTCTTTAAGGATATAGCACATACTATTTTGTATGCTGATGACACAACAATTTTAATTACCTCAAATGACCTAAACTCTTTGAATATTAAATTAAATAGAGTTATGACTATGGTTTCAATCTGGTTTTGAAATAACAATCTGGTACTTAATTTGAGTAAGACTCACCTGATTAAATTTGTGACTCCTAAGACTCCAGAGTATACATTATCAGTAACATATAATAATTTTAGACTTAAAGATGTTGATAATGTTAATTTTTAGGTATGTATTTAGATTGTTAACTTAACTGGAAAAAACAATCTGAAAAAATATTAAAGAAACTGAATACAGAGTGTGTTTTATGCTCAGGAAGTTACAATCCCTTGCCGGTGAACAAGCTCTTCGAATGGTCTATTTTTCTTATTATCAGTCTCAGCTTGAATATAGTAGTATATTCTGGGGTTCTTCTCCAGTTATGAAAAATTTATTTGTTGCCCAAAAAAGAGCGACTGAGATTGAGTCCTGGAAAGTCGTGTAGAGAAGGTTTTAAGAGGTTGGGTGTTTTAACGGTTCCTAGCCTATATATCTATTCTATATTGATGTTTGTTGTTAGAAATCGCATTTTTTTTCAAACCAACAATAATATTCATCGTATAAACACTAGACAGTTTGGAAAGCTATATGTGTCATCAGTGAGATTATCTTCAATCCAGAGAGGCGTGTTATAGTCATCCATTGTGGTTTATAATAATCTTCCTCGAAATATACAAAGGATGAGTGATAATGTGAAGATTTTTAAACGCACACTGAAAAGTTTCCTCAAAACAAATGCTTTTTATTCAATAGATGAATATATTTCTGCTAAGCACGTAAAACATTTAATAACTATATTCCTTGTAATTTTGTTTATGAATGACAATGTAAATTATGGTTATTTGGTGCTTCTGGTTGTGTGTGGTTGTTTGCTGTTGACACGATTGCACTTCTGCAATGAAGTCTTATTTTGACGAGTTCAATATCCGGTCCAATTCGGACAACGGATCAGTGAATTTATGAATTATGTATGTATGTAACCAAAAGAGAACCCTCACGTCACACACATTACAAAAATTTACAACGCAATGTCATCCTTAACCTAAACAAAATTCTCACTTCAAACATACTACGAAAATACAATGCAACATCTTTCCTAGACTAAAAAAAATCCTCTCGTCAAACATATTAAGAAAAATACATGGTATATAAAATATACATACCGACTCCTGGCTGTTTTCTGCAAAATATTAGATCTGGATGATGTTTCGCCATGTTGCTTAGAATTTAACTCAATTTCCGGAAACAATGTCCTCTTACTCCTGCCACCATCTCTTCCGTTTTATGCATAGGTCTACAATCCTACAACCATACGATCTGTTGCGATCCGTAGGCAGTTGCTGGCTTTAGCTGGTTACTAATCCGTGGATGACTGCATAGATTGCATGTACTCTCGCTGGAAAGTACGGACATCTGCGATCTGCACTCTAAAGTAATAATCGGTTCAGTTCTGTAATAGTTTACTTATACTTTCATTAGCCAATATTCGAGAATTCATTGTTCAAATAGTCCTCCGTTGAGTAATAGCACCTCTGAATAAGTAACTTCTTCAATTCCCTTCTGAACTGAGTTTTGTTTTCTATTTCTTAGGCAATTTGTTGTAAAGGATACAGCCATCTACTGAAGGATTACTGAGTCCCCACCCGTGTGGAGGCGGTGTCGAATGCCTCCACGCTGACCCTGCGACTCGTAGGGAAGTCTCAAATCTGAGACAGTAAAATATGGTCACGAGTCCCAAGGGACTCGGACCCGAGAAAGAATGCGCTGGCAAGGACCAGCAGCATATACAAAAGACAGACCCGTCTTCTTGTCAGATAGGGCGCCCCACAGAAACAAGACCGTAACGACCGTAACTGTCAAACGGTAATGGGGCTCGAAACCAAGACTTACTGACTGACCATCAGTCGCAATGTGACTTTGACTTGAAGAATTACTATTATAAAGTTCCAAGTTGTGCCCATATATATGATAGTCTTTATTATTTCTTGTGTTATGTGCATGTATTTGTTAATTCACTGTGCAGTTACACTTTTTTTTTTTTACATATAGGATTGTTTCTTGTGTATATAGTGAGTATACTGTTAATATCTTTAGATTTCTAAAGCTATCCCTGCACGATTCCAGATGTTTTAGCCCTGCAATGTATCTTACCGCCCTTTTTTTTTAGTACAAAAATTCTTCTAGTGAGGGTCTTAGCGCTATGTCCCCATACTGTTATTCCATAGGATAGATGAGAATAGATCAAACCAAAACAAAACATTCTTTTTTCATTTAAATTGAATATTTTAGATAGCCTGTTAATTATGAACAGGTTATGGCTAATTCTACTGCAGGTTTTCTCAATATGTACGTAATTCCCAGCTCGAGGTACTATCTATTACTGCCCCCAGGAAATTTGTGCTTTTTACATTTGATATTTCCCTGTTCTTTATTAGGATTTTTAGATTACTTTCCTAACTGCATTGTTTTGTCTGGAAGAGAATATAGTGAGTTTTAGATGGTTTTATAAATAAATTGTCTCAAAGTATTGCTCTACCACTCCTATATTACTTGAAGTTGTAATTTGGAGCTCATTCATATCTTGCCCTACATTCAGTATTGATGTGTCATCAGCATACATTATTGCTCTGCCTTGTGTTAGGTGTGGGATATCGTTTATATACAAGATGAAGAGTAACGGGCCAAGGACCAATCCCTGGGGACTCCGTATCTCACTGGGAAGCTACTTGATAAATATTCTTCCATACGATTGCCTTCTGTGTGTGTTACTTTTACGTGTTGAGTTCTGTTGAAGGGAATGGAGAAACAGTTACAGAAACATCCCCAAAACAAAAAATTCATATTAAGAATACTATCTTCTAGGACATCTAGAATGTGTTGCCTTGCAGTCCAGTACAAGTTCAGGCACATTTCATAGAACACAGTGCCATCATTTCATGGTTTGAAGAGTGTCATGGAAACAACTAGAAGCAAGCAAGATTTCCTAACCCAGTCCTAGAAGATGCATGCAATACATTCAGCTTATGATTCAGTGAACTAGTACTGGAGTGCACAGTGTCACATCCCAAAAAGGACACTTCATAGCCACTGCTGTCAAAATAAAAAATGCAACACAAATGTTTATGTCTCACTAGAACTGTTCTGTACAACTCCTAGAACTACCAATGCCTCAAAGCAAACTTCTAAACAGTGACATAAAACATCAGTCATTAAGATTAGATATGAAACTGATAATAAGAATCACATATTCAATAATGACAGAGAATAAATTAATATTTTAGAAAAGAAATTTATTTCTGTTTTTTCCAAGTTACAATTATTCAATAATATTATGCACTGAAATATTTTAATTTACCCCATATCTGTATACAATGTTAATTCTTACCTCTTATGTAAATACATATACATTTTAACTTGTAGGCTGTCCTACTCATTAATGGGTGTGATTGAAGGGGTCCCAACTTTGAGATGTGAACAAATTTAAAGAGTAATCCAAGACTCTGAAGTACTTGATATAAATACAGTTATTAACGTTTCAAGCAACTGTGTTTTAAATGAAATTCTAAAGACTAGATGTATCTTGTACAAAATTGGCGATTCAAGTTTTGCACGTGCATCGACATTCATAACATATTTTATAAATATGAGGATTGTTTCCACTTTTCAAGCACTGTGAAAGAAGCTTTTTAGGAATGAATAAATATACAAATAAATGAATACCTATAATGATGGTGTGATAGCTGTTCCACACAGATATAAGGCAGATATTAAATTAAGAAGTTAAAAATCACACATACAACTTCAGATTAAGGACAATAAATATTGTTTCTAATACTTGGCATGACCCCACAGACATTCATTATGGCACAAACCATCTTGATAACCTCAATCCTTCAAACTTCCTACATTATATTGCAAAGAAACAATTGGTTAGAACATAACTGACACTGTAGCCCATTCAAACATAAAGATCACAGTTAAAACCTTTTGTATAATAATATTTTGGTGTGATTAACATAATAAAATAAGTATGTTCATCAATACATAAACAATTAGATACTGTATTATGAAATATTCTTTCACATAAAATTATTCAATATTGAAATCTAGACCAGATGTTTCATAACTTCTAAGAGAGAATTAATTTTGTATTTTCAATGCCTGTAGTCTCTTTCCAGTTTTAAATCATATTTTCACAAATCAGCAAGTTGTGGAAATGAGAAAATTTTGTATTGTTGGATTGTTCATGTATTGTTCATGAAGGTAAAATTATAACATTCTTTTCACTAGCAAGGGTACCTCAGGGTGTGGGAAAAGTGATACATCTTCCCCTTGCCTCTGGAATTCTGATTAAAAGTAACTGAAAAACAAAAGGAAATATATGAAATATTAAAATTATTTTTAAATTTGATGCAATCTTATGTTTCAAACAGAGAGACAGTTCTAGGACAATCTGCAAGAACATCCATAAACAGCTTGAAAGCATGCAAATTTTCTGGCTGCCCCAGAAAAAAATTAGTGGTATCAATTATTATTATTATTATTATTATTATTACTTCTTTCCTTGGTTTCCAACTTAATAATTCTGGTTCGTGTGTGGGGTTTCTTCAATTTATTGTAATTTACTATTCCTCTTCCACGTCTGTTACATAACTGAAAGATAAATAGTAGCTCAGTTTCTAAACCTGTTAAACACTAATAACACAGTTTCCTTCTAGGATAATGATTAATTTGCCCTCTCCTTGAAATTCCATCAATACAGGAGCATATATCACTCCTGTGGCACAGACGGTGATAAGTTTAAAGCTGTACACAAAATTTCTGCTCTGCTTTCCACTTTTCTTTTCTAATAAACTAAAGAAATATTTTGAGAATCTTAGAAGGGTGAAAGGTACATGAATGAAATGTTAAATTCTGTCTCCTTTCCCCCTCCCTTGGATGGGTGACTACCTTCCTTTCTCATAGTTCCATGTTCCTCTTGTGAAGATTGATATTAGAATTCTAAAAATGATCCTTTTCCTCACATTTTCTGTTCATAATTCCTATTGGCCCAGAGTTAAGATCTGTCCTCTTTCCTATGGACCTCTGTGACCATCATCTTTACAGACTGTCTACATAAACCAATGGTAGCCATACCCAACTTACTTTAACCCTGAAACGGAAACAGATTTTCCTTCCTAAATGTTGGCATAAACCTACAAAATTGCATAGTCTCACAACCCAGGAGAACACAATCTAGAAAAGTTACTTGTTCATCTGGAAGTCTCATCCTAATTTCAGAATCCATCTATGTAAGTTTTCAAACAGTACCTTAATGTTATAAAACACAAAAAAGAAAGCATATTCATAAAATTAAAATACTGGTGTCTATGTTGCATAATGAACATTATGTTGACATACCTCAATATTTAAAACTCTGTAAGAAGTGTCTGAGATATCATTCATAGTTGTTATTTAGCACATTTACAAATATCCCAATACATTTTCAATATATGTGGCCAAAATGTTAAGATTCTAGCGTCCATTTTTTAGTCAAATTACAGTATGAATTGACTACAGTGTGTGTTTTGCCAAACCAAACTTAAGTCCATTATAAACTCATGAAATAAAATAACCACAAAGCAACAATTACATATAAATAAGCAGCTGTTGTTCTAGTCAAGGATAAGGCACATTATTCTGGAAGCATATAATATGATGGTACCTCACTATTGCATTCACCACAAAATCAACTACTTCAGTGTGGTCCACATTATATAGTCTGTTGGACCATACTGTTCTGTTTCAATGCAAGACCATCCACAAATGTTTCCAAGCCTCTTGTCTTGGAGCAGTCTTTATTTTCCATAAACTATTCTAAGCATCCAAAATCATTCAAAGAGAAAGAATGGGAAATTATGAAGAAGGTCAAGTCTGGAAAAACTTCTTAATCTTTACTCATAAACTGGCATTAACACCTTCACTGCCATTCCCCCATACTGAGATTTTACCTTCTGGATCATAAATTTTTTCATGAAAATTGGATATTCAACTTTGTACATTCAAAATGGAAATGTAAGAGAATGCACAAGAAAAAATTTGATCATTCCTACATATTTCAACTCATTTAGGGTTTGAGAAGTAATATTTAAGGTTTCTCTAAATCTGAGTTACATCTGCAGAAGAAAATTGCATTCATGTACTTAGCAGCAACAGACCATTGCTTGACAGGTTAGAACCACCACACAGAAAACTTAAATTCGTTAGTTCATGGGATTGGCAGTGAATGCATTAATATTTTAAGCCAGTGGCCACAGAATGTTCTACACCTGTGGGTGATCCTGATTGTTCTATTAGAACACTCAGTTTTTAAATTTAAATTCACTATAATCCAGTCCTAGAAGTTGTGACTGCTCTGCTAAGCAGAAATTTGTAGGACGGCAGACATGGCATGATAAATTTACCTTCATCATGACTAATGCGACTAAAGTAGTTAAAAGATTAACACAAATATACCATGAAGCCTTATTAAAAAATACAATATATTCATATATTAATCTTTCACATATGTTAGCACATTAACAAGTACAATGAAACTTGACTAAAACTTTCCATCTCAAGTCTTCTCTTTAAATGAATCATAACTACAGTCCAGGCACGATTTAATTATCCTTTGTTATCAGCATCCAGCACTGTCTGCCTCAAACAGCACTGGCCAAAACTGACATTAACGCTGTCCATGAAACAGCACTGGATGACAGTCATGTGTTGGACAGGCATGTTGCCAATTGCATGTTTAATTTGCAAGGACTGTTCCACTACCACACTGTTTCTGACTGCATCTGCACACTTTGATCTTTGTTGGTCAAACAAAAATTTGACATCAGTGCTATATTCTTTGACCTGAACTGGGAGTTGCTTGTCACATCTTTAGGTGTGACCATGGATCATTAAATTGCAGCTCCAATCTAATACAGGCCAAATTTCTCTTTTAAGCAAACAAAATTAAATTTCTATGCTCCAAATGATGAGACTCACACATTACTCACTGTTACCAACGAATTCTGGTGGTATTATTACACAAAGTTTTTCCACTGTTCCAAATGTCAGATCTTTACAATGCTGCAGATAAAATCTACTTTCAAATTGAAAAACAGATTTAGTGCACAAGTTTTAAGATTCTCATGGCAGTGAGTATTAAGATTAGTCTTCTGGCATGTGACATCATGTAGTTTTATGAGTATGTATCAATTTTTTGGAGCATCCATCTGCCTCCATTGTCACTCTTCTAACCTGAAGATTGAGGCAGCACATTTATTCAAAAATTCAGTACCCATCTACCAAACTATACAACATCATACCCCAGAAGACCATAATCACATGGTTTGCTAACTACTTCCTTATCATGTATTGTGTCACGGTTTGCTAAAATTTTAAAATTAATTTCGTTTATTTTGCCTCAGTAACAGCAGAAAAGACATCAAAATTGAAAGTATGAAAGCTGTTATTTTTACTAGACAAGTGCCATTGTATTTCTTTGTACCACAAATACATATCTTTCCAAAGTGTTAATGTTGCAGTCTAACTAAATTTAATTTACTTTTAGCATTTGTATCAAAATTTAGCCAGTCTGTTTCAAGATCACAAATATACTCATTTCAAATACATTCCACAAATAATATGTAATTTAATGAATACACAACACAGACAAGATGAATGTAACCTACATCAAAGTATCTTTATGACATGTTGACAGGGGTGTAGTTCTAAAAATAAGATTACCAGGGCAGTCCAGCACACAGTTCCAAGTTGAAAGAAATGATGATATGAGGCCGGTTTAACTTGTATTTAACAATAGCTGTATACTTTTAAATGCAGAACTGAACAACAAACATCTTCATGTAAGGCAAATGCTTAAAGAAGATGGCACTTCCACTCCAGAGGTTGGAAATTAAATGAGCTAGAACACCTTCATATTACACACCAGTGTCTTTAAAAGAAGTACACTGGCCCTGAATTTTCTAGGCTTGGTTACAGCCCTGGATATTGGTGAAAACTATGAATGAAGAGAAGAATAATAGCATTTGCCTGAGAAAGAAAACAGGCACATCATAAAAAAAAACGGAAACAAGATTATGATTTTATACTGTAGGCTGACCATCTACAGTCAAAATTCTCCATTCTAAACTCGCTTTAAACTGTCTTGTGAAGTGATGGACATGTTATGATTAACAACGGTAAAATGTATGGGATGTTGATGTAGCAAAACAAATTTAAACCTTTTATATATTTTAAAGATATTCAGTTTTCAGATTATGTAAAGAATTTGGATCATAAAATCGAACATTAACAAACACCCAGTTGAAAACCTTGGCCTGGAAAGCAGCTAATATAGTACAACCATATAATTTGGCAATATCAACAGAAATATATCCTCATCTCCACTCACACACACACTCTCTCTCTCTTTCTCATCGCAACTCATGCACAAATGCACATTTTTGGGACCTCTTGTTGAGCAGTGAATTTACCCAGTTCCTTGGGCACTTAAAAATGGTATGGCATATAGGTTGCACTGTGTTCACAGCTTATCTTATGCAAATGTTCAGAGCTTATACTGAATGGAAAAAATAAATTTTTTGTTTCATATTCCTGCAGTTTCAGTGGCCTTATGGTGCCTACTAGCCAGCCCAGAGAATGTATCACTGCCAATATCTATCAGTGATTTTCAATTTAATTACAGTAATATATATGTTTACTGCGAGAAATAATTTTTATTAAATGTGCTAAAGATATAGAAAAATATTTATAATGAACAGGAAATAGGAGAAAAAACTTTCTCCAATTAATACACTGCACATGAAGAATTAAATGTCAATGCTAGGGTACTACATCACTATAAGAACAAAGTTTTAAAACATGACAACAAAAACTCTGATGTAATTACATTTTTAGGTGCAATTACCAATTACATAATGCAATATTAAAATGAACATGGATAATTATAGAATTCTGATACAAGATAACTTGAGAAATTAAGCCTACAACTTGAGGCACAGAAAGCCAAATTGCAGTTCCTTGCTTCAAGATTTTCTCTCATTTAATGTTAAATTTCAAAGATCCCAAGTCAACAATGCCGATCTTGCTGAAATATAGTAGAACTAGCATTTTACGTCCCTCATTTAATATTCAATTTAATTGATACCAAATCAATAATTGTGACATAGTCACATAGTCACCAATTTCAATCCTTTACACCTTGGGAAGGCAGGTACAGCATTTACTTCATGTGAAAGCTTCAAATCTTAAATATAAAATTATTAGTTGGACACAGAAACAATTTATAATTTAAACAGAATATTACTGCTGATAAGTATTTGTAATTAAATTAGCAGAGTCCTTTGAAACCCCTCACAGAACCCAGTGGTTTCAGAGAGCACAGTTTTGAAATCACTGCTCTAATCCATTTTAAAGCACCATCAATGCATAACAATATACCTGTAACAAACCTCTGTTATATTTTCACAGTTTTAATGGCAGTTTTAACAAAAGGAGATAATACAGAAATAATTTAAAGCATAAATATTACAATTCTATTAACTGGTAGAAATTAAATATGTAATAAATTCTTAGGCAGCATATAAATGTTTATGTTTGTACACTCAAAATGACTAATGTCCACAAGATCTTTGAAGAAATAGAGATGCTGCTGTTGTTAACTCAGACGAAATATTTCAGCCACTGTAGTTCATTTTATCAGATATGATGAAACACAGTACAACACCAGCCATGTCAAACTCGTCCATCAGCAGAAAAGCTGGAAACTGAGAATACATTCCACGTCAGTGCTGTACGAAATGATTAAAAAGTTCTGAAATACCATTTCTTTGCATATACGATTTTAAGTTCACAAAATGGTGGAATGTGATGTCTAACTTAGTAGACTGGTAACAAGGCAGCTGCTGCCTTCATCTTCAGGGCAGGAAAGTGAGCCAAGTGAATGAAAACAACACATGATGTAGGGAAGGGAGAACATAAACCAGGCCTACGGGCACCCAGTTCTGTTCCATTCCTTTATTTATTTAATTTATTTATGTAAATATTCTTTCAAATCGTCCAGGCCGGCTCTGGTGTCAGCCAACCTCCTATCCAATGGGTACCAGGGGCTCAAGCCCTGGGCATAAAGCGGCCATGGCATGAAGCTGACAACTCACCTCCAGCTAGCGCTGAGTCAAGAAAATGTGGATCTATACATCCACACACCTTCATGGCGTAGTGCTTAATTTGTTTTACCCATGTAAATATCCTTTTTTGAAACCTTTTCCCCCAACCTTCCATCCCCTGCAGTTTCTCTTCTTTCCATATTGAAAATGCAGCCCTTTTCAAGGCCACCAGTTGCAACTGGTTCCTTCGTAACTCTGATCCTCCTCTTGATACGTCAGGTACCATTTCACCTACTTGACTCAGCCTTCTGCAAGTTCCTCAGAAATGCTGGTACCTCCCTACGAAAATAAATGATGTCACACCCCAAAAGACATGATCTGAATGTTCACGTCTGTGAGAACCTCAGAGCTCGTAAAGTATTGTTACTTATTTACTTACTTACATACTTATAGAGCTGAGCCCTTCTTGAGGAGAAGCCAAATCTGCAGCTACTCAAGAATTTCCCGTGTGTGTCCTGAACCCAAAGGCTCATTACCGTCTTCACAAGAGACCTCCACTGGTCTCTATCCTGAGCCAGCTCAATCCAATCCATACCATCCAATCCTATCTCTCTAAGATCCATTGTAATATTGTCCACCCACCTACACCTTGGTCTTCCCAGTGGTCTCTTTCCTTCTGGCTTTCCCACCAATATCCTATATGCATTCCTCATCTCCCCCATTCATGCTGCATGCCCTGCCCATCTCATTCTCCTTGACTCATAAAGTATTGTTAGCCAAACAAAATACAAATGGCTTCAGTATCTTACTTTAACTAGTCTGCTGAATTTTGTCCATACTACGTTGTCATCCTTCAAGAGGTATAACTAGTGAGCAGTGTAGTACATGACTGCAGGTGCCGGTAGCTGCCATCGGGAAGCATGCAATTCAATCAGTTGCAGCAGTGTCTTCTTTACTGCTGGAATGGTCGCTGTTTTAAGGAAGGCATCACGGACACTTGCAAGTAGAACTGGAATCTGACCTGGCAATTCACTTTCCAGGTCACGTCCAATAGATGTTAGCACAAAAAAAAGGCTGTCAGTCTGTAAAAGAATCAGTTTACAACACCTTGTATAACTCCACTCTGTTTAAAACACATTGCTTAAATGAATTCTGGGTCTCTGTCTAGATAGGTAGAGTTCTACATAAGGGCCAGAGAATGGTTAAATGCTGCTCAGGGGATGAGAAATTCCCCTGCTGCCCTGAGGATGTAAACAGATCATTTTCTTGAAACTTGATCAGAATTAAAAACACTAAGTTTTCATGCATTATGATGAATATTGTCATAATTTTAAAACATAATTTTTCAAACAATTTCAAACAAATTCATACATGTTTACATTATGCCAATTTTGTGTGTGTGTGTGTGTGTGTCCTCCAGCCATTAAAGGTCAGACCTGCAATATTTTGGTCTCTGCTCTCCAGTTACCTTAATTGCTACTGCTGTATTTAAACCAAATATTTTATGCTCTTGGAGATTACTGTCTTCTTGGGTAGGATGCCATGTAGTCTCTTAGATCATTATCAACATTTCAGAGAAATCTGACGCTTCCACCTTCAGGGTAGAAGAGTATGTTGAATGAAGAAAAGTGCATGGATATAGGAAAACAGAGGATGGGACAGGTGCCCTCAGTGTAATAACAGGAGAAAAGAGAACAGTGTATAGGATCATGAAAGGGTTGTTTTCCAGGGGTAGAGAAAATGGGAAAAATAACACTCTGAGTACACCAACAGAAGGGGATGGAAGTTGTGGGAAACAGAGTAAGGAAGCAGTGACCCTTTAAAGGGCCTTTTTCTTAGGCAGAGTCATTTGGAGAAAAGGAAAAACGTAAACAGGGAGTGATTCAGAAGGTAGAGTAGGTATAAAAATGGGGAAGAGAAGAGATAAAGGAAAACATATTGTGACATGATGCCTGGAAGCTGGAAGACTACAGCCAGAGTAGACGCTCATTTCGAAACACCCCAATAAACAGGTTCCCATAGAAATAAACACGCATATAACAATAGAAGAGCTACCATTTCTATGCAATGGGAAGGTAAACACAACTCTATAACAACAAAGGAATTGTTAGAAAACGGTGTTTTCTGTGGAACAGCCTCAAGGCTGCATAAGGTGGATCTCAGGCAGCTGAGAGATATCCTTCCTGTGGATGTGGGATCAAATACCTCCACCGTGACCCTGCAAGTTTTAGGAGGCAACAAAAAGGGGAGTCTCAAATCTGGGACAGTAAAATATGTTCACGAGTCCCAAGGGACTCGGACCCAAGAAAGACTGAGCTGGCAAGAGCCAGTAGCATATACAAGAGACAGACCCATCCTCTCGTCAGAGAGGGCGCCCCACGAAAACAAGACCATAACTGACAAAGACTAATAAATATCTGGTTATGAGCCCCAGATAGGGCTTGACACCAAGACTTACTGACTGGCTGACCGTCAGTCACAACGTGACTTTGACTCTGACTTTGACTGAGAGATATAACTGAGGGAGTCTCTTGAGATGAGAGCTGAAGATGATGCAGAAGAGAGGACATAGTGTGTCTTATAGTGGTTTGTGAATCGTAGTAACAAGTTGTATAAATGTGCAGTAAATGCGGTCATCAATCCAAAACCCATCTATAAGTTACACACAGCCAAAAGTATGTAACAATATACAAATCAAGACATAGGAAAGTGCAATATTGGCTATTATAAGGATCATTTACAGTATCCTCCTTACCCCTATTGGATTTTATGGGCCCTGATCTCTCTCCCCCAGTATCTGCATGTATCAATTACATATATGGCTCACACTTCTATCCTGCAGATGGAGACAGAAATTTCCTCGAAAATGGGGATGTCTGTCTATAAGACTGCATAGTGTCACGTTCCAGATAGATGATAAACTTTAAAGACACAACCATAAGAACCTCAAATATTATATATGTTGCGCTCATTGATTTTATATTAAAATATAACTGTTCACCAGTTTATATCTGTTTCCTGTTTCCTACAGCAGATCTAACAAAGAACACTTAAAGAAACTACAATGGTAACTGTGTAAGTACAGCTGATTTACAAACATCTATTTCAGTTAGTATTACAATATTTCTTAACTTTGATATTTGTCCAGTATTCTGGAATAGAACATATCATTCCAGGAGTCAGATCTACTCCTATCCTGTTTTTGGATAGGGACATAATATTTGCTTACAAACTAATATTAAATTCATTGAAGAACATATTTACAAATCCCCTTGAGGTCTGGTTCTGTATACTGAAATAGAGGTGGTGCCATTTTAAAAGTAATTACAAGGGCTGGTATCAATAGTTGCAATATGATGAGCTTTGTCTTCCAATTTCAATTTCTTTTCTTTTTTCCCTAAAAGTCTGTCATGAATGAATGAAAGTATGCATGGTACATCATTTTAAGTGTTGTAACATTCAACTCTTTTATTGACCGTCAAAACACAACATATAGAAGAAATCAGGGTCAGCGCCCAGCTATGGCCTTGCTACATGTTTCAGCCACTAACGGCCATCATCAGGCAAACACATATTAACAAACATATACCATTGAACTGTTGTACAATAGATTGGATACAATGTTAAAATACTTTCTGTAAAAATACAGTAAGTCAGATTATATTAAAAAAAAACTGAAAGTTATTGTATAAAACAAGATAAAACTTGATTGATGTTATACAACATCGAATCGGTCGTTGATTTTTTACTTTTCATACGTTTCTATGGACCAATTGGAAGTTCGAATATTTCATTTATATAAGAATGTAAAGGAGGCGCATGATGTTGTAAATTAATTAAGAGTGTAGTCGGTGCCTCATCTTACAAAGAATTGTCCGTACTGTATGGAAAGTAAACATACATAAAGTTGTAACATTACTATATGTTTTCATAATTCGTATTGCATAACATGCCTTTCCCAATCTGGGTAACAATGATTCAACCTGTGTCTTCCAATTCAAGAACTTATCAACTTCAATGCCCAAAAATTTAATATGAGTTTCCTCTTGTACTTTAAATGTACAGGCATATTGTCACGATTGATTGTTTCAAATTTTAACACTTTAGTTTTCCTCAAGTTTAGGGATAAGCCATTGTATTTAAAGCAGTTACTTAAGGAATTTAACATAAGTTTAGACCTTTCTTGAATTTCATCGATATTAATACCCGACACTAATATACTTGCATCATCGGCATACAATAATGACTTGCTGTCAGTACTTAATGCTAACGGAAGGTCATTACTATATAAAAGAAACAACAAAGGACCCAAAATCGAGCCCTGTGGCACTCCATATTTGACAGTTCCCCAGTCTGAACAGCGTTTTCCATTCTCATTATTATAAAGTTCAACTCTTTGTCTTCTATTTTCCAGATAGGACTTCAACCATATTTTTATTTTACCACCAATGCCGTATGTTGCTAATTTACTCAAAAGAATATCATGACTCACACAGTCAAATGCTTTTGTCAAATCACAAGAAATTCCTAATGAATGATTGCGTGTTTCTAACGTTTCTAAAATATGATTAGTTAATGTACATATTCTACCCATTATATTCTGTATGCATAAAAAGGTAAAGCTATCCCTGTAACAGACCATGGAAGCTCATAGGGTTGTGAGACATTGAGGCTCCCACATTTTATAGACAATTGCCTCACAGATGGCAGTGAGGTTGTCAGCCTTACGTGTTGGCCATCCTTTACCCCCAGGGAGATCCCTGATACTCATTTCTGTTAGAGGCTGGTCGATCCCAGGACCACAGTATGGCTGGGAAGATTAGGTCAATTGAAAAATCCAATTACCTCATCGGGAATCAAACCCGAGACCTTCCAGCTTATAGCATAGTGCCTCAACCAACTACACTACCACGTGTCCCCATTCTGTATGCCTTACCTTCTTTTTGTGAAAATAATTTTACTGCAGATGTGAAACTGCAGCACTGCATTAAATGGATAAATAAATTCAATGGCTAAATATTACCTCTCCTTGTGAATTTGGTGGCTTTAGGCAGTCCAGACAACATTTGAACACAAGTGTGAGCAGCACCAGGCCTGGTGGGACCCCATCATACTGTGTCTTCAGCTGTAGCTGCCGTCGTTTCAACTGTAAAATATGGCGAAGAGTTAGTAACAGCCAGTAACAGAACAGCAGATGAAGAATTCA